GGAGAGGACGGACGGGGCATGGTAGGAAACAAATAAGATCACAACAATCCTGTAAAATAAATAATTTACGAGGGTAAGTTGGGACCCGTACTCAAAACTCGAGCGGGGACACTGAAATAGGATTTAATGTCATCGCTACCACACCCCCCCCACCGGACCAACGGCGAGTGCGTGTATGTCGGAAGTGTGCCCTAACCTCGGGCGAGGTCACTGAAGTACATTTTTTGTAGTATCACTAACCCCAAATAGAATAAAGGCGAACGAGCGAAGAAGGTTGAAGATTGTGGAATTCACCCTACTTAAAATTTGTAACTAAGTGAGTATTCCCCGTATTTAATTTTAAGAGCCATTTTGCTTAATATACTGACCTAAGCGATTATTGTATGCGATGGCCGACGGAGGACCCTTCTGTAGTTCAATGCCATCATCCTAACAGCTGAGGTATTTATCATTCGGGTCCAGTTTGAATTAGCAGGTTTTCATGACGTAAGGTAAATACCGTTCAGCTCTAAAAAGCGTGTAAATTTTCTAAGTTTAAGCAAACTCGCGAACCGGCAGTAAAGCATGTACAAGCAAATGGAACGTCCGCAACATATGTCTGATATTGATAAATGATACAATTTGGTTGTAAGTTAAAGACCACACTTTCCTCTTTATATTAGAGCATTTTGCACCATGGTGGATTACTTTCGGGCTAAGTTTTAAGCTTGCGAATGAAAAAAAACTGGCAGAATTTGTACTAAGATATCGCAAACATTATTAATTGTGTGTCTGTTCCGTTTCTAAATTGCGCATAAGCGGGAATAACAATGTACAAAAAGTATATTTCGGCATGAGTTAAATTTAACAAAACCTGGTTTTACTTCAATATTCACGATAATATATGACCAGTGTTTGTTTACGTTGTAAATACTTGATGCGGTAAAACAAAATGTACTCAAACCCTTTATGCTGCATTTTGTGCCAAATAAATTCCCAGTTTAGCAAAAAATAATTTTAAAAACTTAAATTATTCTTTGCGATTTCTCAAAATTGGCTTCACATGCATTTGAGCAACTTCGGACCGAAATATCCGGTTCTGCAATGATATGCTTTTAACTTTTCTTACTTATTTTGGGCCTCTCCCATAGCACAATGCATGAAAGTAGAAGGTTTGTTTCTGTCGCACTTAATAGCATAAGAAATGCCTTCGATATCAGTTTCCTCTCGAAATGGCAGAAATTAATGTCCATCACCTTCGATAAACTTAAATAAAAGGCAGTTATATTTAATAAAGGGCCTTCCCGGGATTAAATCCACTCTGTGGATAAAAATAACGTGGATAAATATATGCTAATCTATCAAGTCCACTTTTGTCATGACCGCTGCACGATATCTTACACATACATACTGTATATCCCCTATTCGGGAAGGGGCGCTCATCGATCTATTGGCTGCGTGTGTTTGACAAAGGTCACAAACAGACAACCAACTACGAAACCGAAGTCGCTTCCCTCTGTTGCCTATTCGTGATCTTTGCCAAAAACACGGAGTCTGTTTGCCTCCGGAGGCCAAGAAATCATTGTCGCTAATGCCTGCTTGAATAGGTATCCGATCCCGCATTGGTGGAGAATGGCAGATGACAAGTCATTGGTGAATTTTGGGTAAACGAATTGCTTGTGACCCACCTGTTAGACCACATCCGAGTACCATCCACACCGTCTGTCGGTGCATATTTGTTTGAGGCCGGAGGTGGTCGCCAAAGTTATGGTTTCATTTTCAGATTATTTGGTGAGGATGATAGGCAATGCCTTTGAAAACCCTATTTAGCACGTGTACAAGCACCTATAAAAATTTACCACTAT